TCATCTATTTGAGATTTTTCTCCTGAGGAAAGAAAATAAAAACAAAGCACAAATATACATATCACACACATTAACTTATTACAGTTGTACAATATTGTTATATCATTTAGTCACATTATTGCATGCTATATTATCATTGCATATTTGATGGCTCACCTGGTCTTGGTCCACATTCGGTGTTGTCCTTATTCTCATGCAAAGCTCTGTAGTGCCTAAGCATGGATGAGGTGTTGTTGTTATACCCCAGCTCCCTGGCACATAGCAAACACTTCACCTTGTACAAAAGTAAAGACAGCTGAAGATAAATTGCATTGCACAATCAATATTAATTATGAAAACAAATCTTCTGTAAAAATATTACTGTACATACCTTGTTGGGAGGAATGAGATCAAAATGTTCCCACACAGGGGACATCCTCCTCTTCTTAGCTGGCTCCATTCTCTCCTAACTCTCTCTCCTCACTCTCCTAAATCTCCCAACTGTCTCCAAACTGTCTCCAAACTGTCTCCAAACTGTCACTGACCACAACTCTCAATCAAACACCCACATTTTGAATGGAGCCTGAGGGGTTTATATCGCTGTCAAAACTCGCGGCAAAATCCGAACCACTTCCTGAATCAGTCACGTGGTACAGCCGGGCAGGAAGGCTTCGGACGTCATCATTTTCAGCTCCTCCCCTAAATGACGCAAGCCTCGATACGCGCATCGCGGAAACGCCCCCTCCCCTACTCGGCACACGCTTCGAAGCCTCGATATGGAACGTCACATCACTACCTGAAAGAACTGCTGGGAAACACTCAGGGAAGAGAGAGCTCTACACGCAGTTACACTGAGAAACCCCAGGTGCAGACTGACGTCATCGAGGATCTGAACTTTAAAGAAGAAGACTCAGCCAACATTAATTTCTTCTATAGTGTCCTGGAAGACCAAGTAAGGACTCATCTGAAGGACAGCAAGGCGAGGCTCACTGAATGTAAAACTGAGGGGAGACTCAATTTGAATGTTCAAGAGGATTTGTTGGCGTGCTACCTCGATGACAGAGAGGTGCTGGAGAATGAGATACAGCACCCGAAAGAACTGCTGGGAAACACTCAGAGAATAGAGAACTCTACATGGAGTTACACTGAGCAACCACAGGTGTAGACTGACGTCATCCAGGACCTGCAGCTTATATTGAAGGATCTGAAAGGAGAGACCGAAGTCCTTCAAAAAGAACTGGAGGCAGTGAAGTCCATCACTGCAACATGATCAGCAATGTAAACTACTTTTATGCAGCAGACCTGTAAAAAATACACCGCATTGTGGGCAGCACAGCGGTGCAGTGGTTAGCACTGTTCCCTCACAGCCAAAAGGTTCTGGGTTTGACCCCCGGCCGAACCTGGACCTTTCTGTGTGGAGTTTGCATGTTCTCCCTGTGCCTGCATGGGATTTGTCTGACTGCTTCGGTTTCCTCCGACAGTCCAAAGACATGTAGGCTTAGGTTGACTGGCGACTCTAAATTAGATTTCATCTGGAAGGTCTCCCGAGGTTTCTTCCCATGTCCTTTCAGTGGTTCTGAGGTTGATGGGGAGTTTTTCCTCATGTTCTTAGAGAGCTTGAGCCGGGCATCTGTTGCTGATCTGAATCTGTGAGCCCTACTGAAACATCTTCATCTACACAAACTCTAACCCCTTCATTTCTTTGCATTTTGTTCATTCATTTCTTTTCATTTGTGCAATACATTTTTTAAAAATCTATTATTTGGTCTGTTATTGATAAGACTTTTAAGTTACACTATAGTAATATTAAATCTTTTGAGTTTTCTTTAGAGACTTATAGTTGTAAATTATAAACTGTCACAAAGTGGCACAACTTTAAGCAACCTTTTGTTCATCATTGGTTATCAAAAAAAAAAGAAAAAAACATTTGAATAAAACAAGTTTTAGGTTTGACAGAAAAAGTGACGTGACAGTAGAAGTACCTTATTGAGCTGTTCGCCACTGTCAATCGCTCACGGTGAGTGAAGACACGTCTCTGAACTCGACAGCCATCACTCCACGCTAGTCTAAGGACTTTTACTGGGACTGTTATTCTATGCTGTAAAAGAAAAAAAACATCAACAAGTGCAAAAAGGGTTCATATTTTTACAGGCAGTGCACATGGTCTCACGTCTCAGACACTTTTGATAAAGTGTTACCGTTTATCCTGAATAACAAGTGCATTTAAATTTTCTCTGCTTGCTTTGCAACAAAAACTAGTGAATGTGTCAAGCCAGGGTGTATATACAGTCTTATGCAAAAGTTTAGGCACCCCTTGATAAATAACAGATTTTGGTGATTTTTTATTTGAACAGATGTTAACACAGTTTCTCTTGGAAATGGAAAAAATGCACAATATTTTCTGCAAACAGTGATGCATAGTTACTTCTTATGCCATAAATTGAACAAAAATAAAAAATAAAAACATTATTATGGCATGGTGCAAAAGTTTGGGCACCCTAAGAGTTCCAGAGTCTCAAAGTCTCTCACAAGGTATCAGACCTTAATCAGCTCGTTAGATCTGATGCACAGCAACAGCTGTCATTGGTAAATGCCAATTTCAAAGCTGTACAAATACTTTGACTCTTCAAACCTTGTGCACACACTTGTGGACACCCAGCAACCATGGGTTCCTCTAAGCAGCTGTGTAAGACCCTGAAAATGAAAGTTATTGACGCCCACAATGCAGGAGAAGGCTACAAGAAGATAGCAAAGCGTTGTCAGCTTGCAGTTTCCACAGTAAGAAATGTAATTAAGAGATGGCAGATCAGGGGAACTGTGGAGGTCAAGATGAGATCTGGAAGACCAAGAAAACTCTCGGACAGAACTGCTCGTATGCTGGTCAGAAAGACAAATCAAAACCCCCATTTGACTGCAAAAAACCTGCAGGAAGATTTAGCAGACTCAGGAGTGGTGGTGCACCGTTCCACTGTGCAGCGATGCTTGCACAGACAAGGCCTTCATGGAAGAGTCAGCAGAAGAAAACCTTATCTGCGTCCCCATCATAAAATCCAACGTCTGAAGTATGCAACAGGACATCTACAGAAGCCCGATGCGTTTTGGAAACAAGTGCTGTGGACTGATGAAGTTAAAATAGAACTCTTTGGACACAATCAGCAAAGGCATGTTTGGAGAAAAAAAGGAGCAGCATTTCATGAAAAGAACACCTTGCCAACTATTAAGCATGGGGGTGGATCTATCATGCTCTGGGGTTGTGTTGCAGCCAGTGGCACAGGAAACATTGCACGGGTGGAGGGAAGAATGGATTCCACTAAATACCAGCAAATTCTGGAAGCAAACATCACACCATCTGTAAAAAAGCTGAAGCTGAAAAGAGGATGGCTTCTACAACAGGACAATGATCCTAAACATACCTCGAAATCCACTATGGAATACCTCAAGAGACGCAGGCTGAAGGTTTTGGAATGGCCATCACAGTGGTATGAGGGGTTGTGCATAAGCAGCGCTCTCTCCACATCCAGTCAGGGCTCAAGCTAGAAGGTCTTTCCCCTCCAGAGCCAAAGGGAGGTCCTTCTCATGGATCAGAGTGAGCTGGGACAGACCCAGGTCTGAGTGAGGTCTGCAGCCTCCTGAGGAAATGATTTCACACAGCAGAACAAACACTTACTGCCCTGTGTTGTTTAGTTGAACTTACTGC